GCATATGATATTCAAATTCACTAAATACACCTAAAAGGAAAGCTTCATGAAAGCAGGAAGGGGGGGGGGGGAAAGGTCCTTAACATACAAGGGAAGACAGATCAGATTTGTAGGAGATCTGTCCATGTGGAAACTTGGCAGGCTAGAAAGGAGTGGCAGGATATATTCAACTGAAAGGGAAAAATATGTAGCTAAGAATTCCTTATCCAGCAAGGCTGTATTTCAGTTTAGAAGGAGAGATAAAGAGTTTCCCAGACAAAGTCTAAAGGAGTTCATGACCACTAAACCAGCCCTGCAAGAAATTTTAAGTAGATAAAAACAAAAAACAAACAAACAAAAAAAAAAAACAGACCAAAAGCAACAAAGACTAGAAAGGACCAGAGAAAATCACCAGAAATAGCAACCCTATAAGTAACACAATGGCACTAAATTCATATCTTTCAGTCATCACTCTGAATGTAAATGGACTAAATGCTCCAATCAAAAGACATAGGGTATCAGAATGGATTAAAAGAAAAAAACAAGATCCATCTATATGCTGCCTATAAGAGAGTCATTTTAGACTTAAAGGCACCTGCAGATGGAAAGTGAGGGTATGGAGAACGATCTGTCATGCTAATGGATGTCAAAAAAAGCTGGAGTAGCCATACTTACATCAGACAAACTAGATTTTAAGACAAAGACTATAATAAGAGATGAAAAGGGGCATTATTTCATAATTAAGGGGTCTATCCATCAAGAAGAACTAACAATTGTAAATATTTATGCCCCCAACTTGAAACATCCACATATATAAATTAATTACTAACAAACATAAAGAAACTCATTGATAACAATACAATAAGAGTAGGGGACTTTAACACCCCACTTACAACAATGGACAGATCATCCAAACAGAAAATCAACAAAGAAACCTTGGCTTTGAATGACACTCGTTCAGATAGACTGAACACATATATTCAGAGCATTTCATCCTAAAGCAGCAGAATACACATTCTTCTCGAGTACACATGAAACATTCTCCAGAAGAGATCACATACTGGGTCACAAATCATCCCTAAACAAGAACAAAAAGATCAAGATCATACCATGTGTATTTTCAGTTCACAACACTATGAAACTCGAAGTCACCACAAGAAAAATTTGGAAAGCCTTCAAGTACATGGAAGTTAAAGAACATGCTACTAAAGAACAAATGGGTTAACCAGGAGATTAAAGAAAAAATTAAAAAATACATGGAAGCCAATGAAAAGGAAAACAGTACAGTCCAAAAACTTTGGGATGCAGCAAAGGTGATCCTAAGGGAGAAGTATATTGCAATTTAGGCCTATCTCAAGAAGTAAGAAAGGTCCCAAACACACAACCTAACGTACCCCTAAAGAAGCTATGGAAAGGAACAGCAAATAAAGCCTAAAGCCAGCAAAAGAAGGTAAATAATAAAGATTAGAGCAGAACAAAATATATAGAAACAACAACAATAATAACAACAACAAAAACAGTAGAACAGATCAATGAAACTAAGTACTGGTTCTGTGAAAGAATAAACAAAATTAATAACTCCATGGCCAGACTTATCAAAAAGAAAAGAAAGAGGATTCAAATAGATAAAAATCATGAATGAAAGAAGAGAGATACACCACAGAAATACAAACAATTATAAGAGAATACCATGAAAAATTATATGCCAAAAACTGGCAATTGGGAAGAAATGGACAAATTCCTAGAAACTCATGCACTACCAAAACTGAAACAGGAAGAAATAGAAAGTTTGAACAGACCCACAACCAGCAAAGATTTGAATCAGTAATCAAAAATCTCCCAACAAACAAGAGTCTTGGACGAGATGGCTTCCCAGGGAAATTCTACTAAACATTTAAAGAAAGGTTAATACCTATTCTCCTCAAACTGTTCCAAAAAATAGAAATGGAAGGAAATCTTTCAAACTCATCTACAAAGCCAGCATTACCTGATTCCAAAGCCAGACAAAGACCCCACTGAAAAGGAGAATTAAAGGCCAATACCCCTGATGAACCTGGATGCAAAAATTCTCAACAAGACACTAGCAAATTGAATTCAACAGTACATTAAAAAAATTATTCACCAGTATCAAGTGGGATTTATTCTTGGGCTGCAGGGCTGGTTTACTATTTGCAAATCAACCAACATGATAAAAGAAAGGATAAGAACCATATGACCCTGTCAATAGATGTAAAAAACAAAAACAAAAACAACAAAACAACAAAACAACAAAACCCCACACATTTGGCAAAATACAGAATCATTCTTGATAAAAAACCTCGACTAGGTAGGGATAGATAGAACATACTTCACAACATCATAAAGGCCATATACAAAGATCTGTATGGGGAAAAACTGATAGCCTTTCCCCTATGGTCAGGGGACATGAATATTCACTCTCACCATTACTATTTACATAGTACTGGAAGTGCTAGCACTGGCAGTCAGACAACAAAAAGAAATAAAAGGCATCCAAATTGGCAAGGAAGAAGTCAAACTTTCACTGTTTGCAGATGACATGATACTCTATGTAGAAAACCCGAAGGACTCCACCAAAAAAATTGCTACAACTAATAATACATGAATTCAGCAAAGTCGCAGTACATAAAATCAGTTTGCAGAAATCTGTTGCACTTCTATACACCAATAAAGAAGGAGTAGAAAAAGAAATCAGGGAATCGATCCCATTTGCAATTGTACCAAAAATAATAAGATACCTAAACATAAACCTAACCAAAGTGGTAAAATATCTGTATTCTGAAAATTATGTAACACGTATGAAATAAATTGAAAAGAACACAAAGAAATTGAAAAGCATTCCATGCTCATGGGTTGGAAGAACAAACATTGTTAAAATGTCTATACTACCCAAAGCAATCTATATATTTAATGCAATCCCTATCAAAATACCACTAGCATTTTTCAGAGAGCTAGAACAATCCTAAAATTTGTATGGAACCACAAAAGACCATGAACCAATAGCAAAAAAAAAAAAAAAAAAAAAAAAAAAAAAAAAAAAAATCCTGAAAAAGAAAAAAGTGGAGGCATCACAATTCTCATTTCAAGCTATATTACCAAGCTCTGGTCATCAAGACAGTATGGTACTGGCACAAAAACAGATATATAGATCAATGGAACAGAATGGAGAACCCAGATATGGATCTGCAACTATATAATCAACTAAACTTTGACAAAGCAGGAAAGAATATCCAACGGAAAAAAGACAGTCTCTTAAGCAAATGGTGTTGGGAAAACTGGACCAATTTCATACATCATACACAAAAATAAATTCAAAATGGATGAAAGATCTAAATGTGAGAAAGGAAACCATCAAAATCCTAGAGGAGAACACAGCCAGCTCAGCTGCACTAACTTCTTGCTGAACATGTTGCTGAAGGCAAGGAAAACAAATGCAAAAATGAACTGATGGAACTCCATCAAGATAAAAAGCTTCTGCATAGTGAAGGAAACAACCAATAAAACTAAAAGGCAATCGATGAAATGGGAGAAGATACTTGCAAATGACATATCTGATAAAGGGTTAGTATCCAAATCTCTAAGAATTTATCAAACTCAATACCCAAAAAACAATCCATTTAAGAAATTGGCAGAAGACATGAAGAGACACTTTTCCAAAGATTTCCAGATGGGTAACAGACACATGAAGGGATGCTCCACATCACTCATCATCAGGGAAATACAAATCAAAACCACGATGAGATAGCAATCTCAATCTCACACCTGTCAGAATGGCTAAAATTAACAACACAAAGACAACAGGTGGGGCAAGGATGTGGAGAAAGGGGAAACCTTCTTTCACTGTTGGTGGGAATGCAAACTGGTGCAACCCTTCAGGAAAACAGCATGGAGTTTCCTCAAAAAACTAAAAATAGAACTACCCTATGACCCAGCAATTGCACTATTAGTTATTTACCAAAAAAGACACTAAAATACAGATTCAAAGGGGTATATGCACGCCACTGTTTATAGCTGCATCATCAACAATAGCCAAACTATGGAGAGAGTCCAAATGTCCATCAACTGATGAATGGATAAAGAAAACGTGGTATATAGGCACAACGGAATATTACTCAGCCATCAGAAGGAATGAAATCTTGCTATTTGCAATGATATGGATGAAAGTAGAACGCATTATGCTAAGTGAAATAAGTCAGAGAAAGACAAACACTACATGATTTCACTCATATGTGGAATTTAAAAAACAAAACAGATGAACAAAGGGGAAGGAGTGGGGAGAGTAGAGAGGGAAACAAACCACAACATAGAGAACAAATAGGGTTGATGGAGGGAGGTGGGTGGAAAGTGTTCTAATTGGTGATTAGTATTGAGAGGCACTTGTGATGAGCACTGGATGTTATATGTATGTAAACAATCACTGAATTCTAATCCTGAAACCAATTATGCACTGTATGTTATCTAACTAAAATTTAAATTAAAAAATAAGTAAATAAAATTTAAAAAATCTATTTCTGTTTTCATGCTATGAGTAATTAATATTTTTCTAAATGAACTAATAAATATTTAAACCTGTTTTCCACCAACTATGGGAAACATTGATAGGTATAACCCACAGACAAAATTATCCTTCGGATCCTTTGTAAGACTGGATAGATATTCTGCGAACACAATGAGAAACACTGACTAACACAGCTCCTGGGGCAGGACTAAGGGAGACAGTGTCACAAAGAGCACCGCAGTAGGAGAGGGGTCTAGGCAAAGTCCCCCGTCGCTGGGCCTGCCTCTCAGGTTTCCAGACACTAAGGCAGTGCTGGGGAAAAGAGGTCGTGTGTACGGGGAGTCCCCATCTTCCACAGTTTTACTTCTCCCAGTCACAGTCTGTGTCATGTCCTCCGGTCTGGATCCTCATGACATAGATCCAGTCCCATTGGATGCCATTTCTAGATAAGCCAATCAGCCGCAAAGCGATTCTGAGTTATAAAGTCTCCTCACCCGCTCCTCTACCAAACTGGGACTCATTCCTCCCAGTCGCTGAGGATGGGGTTCATAGAACCCCAAACGCTCCTCCTGCTGCTGTCGGGGGCCTTGGCCGTGACTGAGACCTGGGCGGGTCAGTGCAGGGTCGGGAGGAAAGGGACTCTGCGGGGTAGGAGCCAGGGGACCGCCTGGCGGGGACGCGGGACTCTTGGGAAAACTGCCTGTCCGCTGCCCCGCCCCAGACCCCCACCCGCCCCCTGCCCCGGCCTTTCCACCCCGGTCCCTCCCAGACTCCGCCCAGCTCTCCCCAACTCGGGTCCCCCTCCCCCTGTCCTCCTGGCCGCCTCCCCCTTGGACCCGGGCCCCGTGCGAGAGGAGGGTCGGGCGGGGTCTCAGCCCCTCCGCGCCCGCAGGCTCCCACTCCCTGAGGTATTTCGATACCATCGTGTCCCGGCCCGGCCTCGGGGAGCCCCGCTTCATCGCTGTGGGCTACGTGGACGACACGCAGTTCGAGCGGTTCGACAGCGACACCCCGAATCCAAGGGCTGAGCCGGGGGCGCCATGGGTGGAGAAGGAGGGGCCGGAGTATTGGGACCGGAACACCCGGATTTACTTGGACACCGCACAAGTTTCCCGAGTGAACCTGAACACGATGCTCCGCTACTACAACCAGAGCGATTCCGGTGAGCGACGCGGGCCCGAGTCCAGGTCATGATCCCCATACGAAAGGACGCGCCAGGGTCGCCCCGAGTCTCCGGGTGTGAGGGCAACCTCGAGGCCGCAGAATTTCCCCTCCCCCGCTCCCCGCTTCCCCTCCCTCCCCCCTCCCCCCCACCCCGCCCCCCACCGCCAGTCCACTGCGTTTCCCGACCCAGGAAAAACCCGCGGGCACTTTTGAGCAGATTCAGTTTCAGTTTGTACTTACTGGCGTGTCTGTCCACGTGGTCTCTGTCTCCGCAGCTGACCGCGGGGGCGGGGCTGACAGTGGAGGGCGAAGCCGACCGCGGAGGCGGTGCTGACCGCGGGGGTGGGTCCAGTATCACACAACATCCAGAGAATGTACGGCTGTGAAATGGGCCAGACGGCCGCCTCCTTCGCGGGTACAGTCAGGAGTCCTATGACGGCGCGGATTACATCTCCCTGTACGAGGACCTGCGCTCCTGGACCGCGGCGGACACCGCGGCGCAGATCACACGCCGCAAGTGGGAGGTGGCTGGTGTGACTGAGGACTTCAGGAACTACCTGGAGGTCACGTGCCTGGAGTGGCTCCGCAGGCACCTGGAAAACGGGAAGGAGACGCTGCAGTGCACAGGTACTTGGGCGGCGGGGCCTCCTCGATCTCCCCTCCACTGGGCATAGCTTCCCACGAGAAAGGGAAAATGGACTCAGTGTCAGAACAGCGCCCCTCCCCGGGTGGGAAGAGGGAGATACGCCTCGACTTTCATATTCCTACTAGAGACAGACTCACCTTGAGGGTGCTTTTCTCTATGAAGGACAGACAGGAATCCAGTCTCTCCCTGGGATGCCTGTTGAGATCATCCCTGAAATAACCCATCAGCAGTTCCCTTTGGCCCTGGCAGCCACCTTGTGAACCCTGACCTTCCCTTTCAAGGCCTTGTTCTCCATCTGATAACATGTTTGGAGATCTGAGTCTGGGTTTTCTGAGTCATTCACCCTCCACCACAGTCAGGACCACAGTGTGTTTCCCCTTTGGACCAGCTGCTTCCTACCCGGGCTTCTCTCCCTGATTCCAGAACTTAACAAGAATCAGGAGATCCCAAAGGCTAGACTGCTGTCTGGGTTTTGTGCTTTTTCCATCCAGACCAGTTGTCCTGTCCACCTCAGGATGGTCACATGGATGCAGTTTCAGTGGCCCATAAAGCTAAACCACAGTGTGGATTCTCTGTTTCTTCTTCCTCAGAGTCTCCCAACACACGGGTGACCCGCCACCCCATCTCTGACCGTGAGGTGACCCTGAGGTGCTGGGCCCTGGGCTTCTACCCTGCGGAGATCACCCTGACCTGGCAGCGTGATGGGGAGGACCACACCCAGGACACAGAGCTTGTGGAGACCAGGCCTGCAGGAGATGGGACCTTCCAGAAGTGGGCAGCTGTGGTGGTGTCTTCTGGAGAGGAGCAGAGATACACGTGCCATGTGCAGCACTAGGGGCTGCCTGAGCCCATCACCCTGAGATGGGGTAAGGAGGGTTTGGGGTAGAGCCCCGTGTCAGAGAAAGCAGGGCCCTTCTGGAGAATTTCACAAAGTGAAGACTGAAGCCAGAGGTCTGGGCCCCTCACCTTCCTTCCCTTTCCAGAGCCATCCTCTCAGCCCTCCATCCCCATCCTGGGCATCATGGCTGGTGTAGCTATCCTTGTGGTCACTGTGGTGGTTGGAGCTGTGATCTGGAGGAAGAAGTTCTCAGGTAGGAATAGAGTGGGGGGGATCTGAGTTCACTTGTCCTGCTGGGGGGTTTCCTAGGTAGCACATTATCCTGCCTGGTTCCTGGGAAGTACCATCCACACACATGTACCTGCCCACTCTGGAGCCATTACTAACATTCACTCTGTAACAAAGCACTTGTGAAAATCAAGGACAGATTTTCACTTGGTAATTCTGGTGATGGGGACCTGACAGGCAGTGACAGGACACAGAGGAAGGTCCCTGCTAAGGACAGACTTCCACAAAGTCAGGTGGGTCAGATCCTGCCTTTCTTCATGTTTCCCGATCCTGTCCTGGGTCTTCAGTCAAAATTCTGGAAACTTCATTTTGGACCAGGACTAGGAAGTTGCTCTAGGATCTCATGGCCCATCTGTCCCAGGTTTGTAACATGATATTTTCTTCCCACAGGAGGAAAAGGACCAAGCTACTCTCCTGCTGCATGTAAGTATGGAGGGGGTGATCCCTGGCACCCTGGGATAGTGTAGACAGGACCCCATGGGGAGCTCACTGCCCCCACCCCCTATAGCTGCTCCTTTAGTATCAACTCCTATGGTTCTGATCACGTCCTGTGTGTTCTATCCCCAGGCAATGGCAGTACCCAGGGCTCTGATTCGTCTTTAATGGCTCCTAAAGGTAAGACTCTGGAGGGCCTGAAGAGGGGAGGAGTGGGGGCACTAGGGACACTTTGAACATGTGAGGGGCTGTTGAGAATGTGGCACTTATGTGACTGATCTAAATGCGTTCATGATTAATTTTTTCACAGTGTGAAACCTGCTCCCTTGTGGGGGTCTGACCAATGCAAGATTTGCCCACGCTCCCACTTGGTAACATCAAGAGCCCCTGACTTCTCTTTCTGCAAGTGGTGTCAGAATGTTCCCATTATGCTAATGTTCCCATTAGCATATTGTGAAAATGTTGGGAGACTGGCCCACCCTGCCTACCATGACCCCTCCCCATACTGATTCCTGTTTCCTTTCTGATCTGCTTTCTTGTTCCAGCAGAGGTAGGGCTGGACTGTTTCCATCCTTGTCTTTATTTCATGTTGGTCAGAGTATTGTTGCCTTACTTCCCTATTGAAAATGAGAATCCAGATATGAATTGTGTTTTGTAATTCTTGGCATGTGGGGATGATGAGGTAATAAAGAAAAGATTTGTAAAGTTGAGGCAGAAAAGAAATGAAAGCACAGAGAACCCTCCAGAATCTGTGTGTTTGCTGTTCTGTGTCTGTTGCAAGTGGGGACAGGAGAGGGCTGGAGGAGCCGAGTGTGGATGGGGCCTGTGTCCAGTTGGTGCTCAGTGCACCATTGGCATGACGTGCTCACCCCTCAGCTGGGTCATGTCTCTGCTCCTTGTCCTTGTCCCTTCTGTGGAACCTTGTGTCACTAGGACCTGTGATCACAGGGACTCAGACATTACCTGTCACAAGGACCTTGTGCAGCAAGTGCTTCCTGTGACTGGGTCATCCCAGGCTCCATCCTGGGTTGAGCCCTCAGCCCCATCTTTTGGGTGTTTTTTATTTTTTTCTGTGGAGCATCAGGCCTGTTTTTGCTCTTGTGTCTGAGTTCCTGTCTCATTCTTCCTGGATGAACTGGCAGTTACAGCAGCAGGAGTCCTTTGGGCTGTTGTTTCCACAGGCCTAGGTGGGCCCTGCACACAGGAGTCTCTGTGGTTTGGAGACATGAATTTTTAGATTCATCCATCTCCTCCCTCTTAGTTGTCTTCTGGATTATTCTTTACATCCTGAGGTAGACAGAGAGGAATCTGGGAGTTTCTCATCCTTTTCCAACTTCAGTTAGTTTCTACCTTCTTTGCCTCTCTGCCCCCTCTTCCTGCCCTTAGTTCTAGTGATGTTGGTGCTGGTTCCCATCCACATTCATGGATTTATAAAGCAGGGTCTAATGTAGATTTCTGTGTGGTTGGAGAAAGGGCCCCATTGAGCCTAAGGCCCATGGAGCCTGATTCTGAAGACAGGACTGTAACTGTGTGCAGTGCTGTGCAGGGGAAATGCTGTGGGGGCGGGGGGGGGGGGAGCTGAGCAGAGAGAGGGAGGGAGGAGCAGCCCTGAGGGAAAGTAGAGGCGGCACTGATGGTGAGGTGGGGGCACTTTGTGCGGGAGCTGCCACGGACGGGCTGTGCCTGAGGCTGATCCAGAAGACAGAGGTCCTCTCCGCTGACCAGTCGTTCCACTGATAGTGTCGTGTGCCACGTGCAGGACCCACTATTTTTTCATCTAGGACACCTCAGTGACTCTAAGAAGAGGCAAACATGCTGGTGTTGTAGAGAATATGTCTAGTAGTGATGGGGTAGATTGCACTTGACCCTGAAACAATGTGGGGATTGAGGGCAATGACCCCATTGTGCAGTCAGAAATGCAAGTATAAGTTTTGACTCCCCTAGAACTTAAGTACTACTGATAATAACCTACTGTTGGATAGAAGCCTTGCTGAAAACTTGAGCAGTCGCTTAGCACATATATTGTATGTTACATATATAGTGTATTGTTGCAATAAATAAAGCTGGAGAAAATATTAAATCATATGTAAGAGAAATCGCATTGACAATCTTATGGTAAAAAAAATTTGCATATAGGTGGATATGCATAGTTCAAACCAGTGTAATTCAGAGGTTAGCTGTATATTATATAAACATAGTAAATAAGAGAAGTGTTTAAATTGGAGGTTGGTAGGTGCTTTGAGGAAGGCGACCCAGAGAGTCTCCTGTGCTGTGACGGGGAAGGTGGCTAAAGGGATCAGTGAGAAGGTGAGCTCTGGGAGATGTGAAGGACATGAAGGAATTGGTGGAGCTTTTTTTTGTTTTTGTTTTTGTGTTTTGTTTTTTAGTTTGTTTATTTTGAGAGAGAGAAAGAGAGACAGAGCCGTGGAGGGTCAGAAAGAGAGGGAGAGAGAAAGAATCCCAAGCAGGCTTTGTGTGCAGTGTGGGTCTCCATCTCACAAACCGTGAGATCATGACCTGAGCCAAAACCCAGAGCCGGACACTTAACCGACTGAGGCACACAGGGGCCCCATGAAGGAATTGTTGAAGAGCATGTCTCAGGGAGTTCATTCCAAGCAGGGGAACCTTCAGTGCACATGTACTAGAGCAGGAGCGTGTCCTGTGTTTAGGGAAGGGTGAGAGGCCGCTGTGACTGGAGCAGACAGCATGTGAAATGAGGTCAGATGTCTAGCCCGCAGGATATTATAAGGGTTTTGACTTTTCTTCTGTTGAGTGTGGAGTTACAAGAATGTAGTTTTCTTTAGAAGCATCTGTTTGTTGCTGTGCAGAATCGAGAAGTGAAGGGCAAGGGACCAGGAGGAAAAAGTGTAGGAAACTAGTGCAGTGTTCCAGGAGGGGGATGTCAGCTGTATGTCTAGGGTATGGAAGGAAAGCAGTAAGACATGATTTGGTTCTGGGTGTATTTAATGAACTTTGTGGCATTTCCTATTGGATTAATTCTGAGTTGTAAGAAGGAGGAATACAGAGGGCATCCGATATTTCAGATTGCAAGTAGAAATGTGGAATGCCTTCCATGGAAATGAGAAGGTTATGGAAGTAGGACTTTGGGGGAAGCAGCATCATAGGCATCCAGTTTAGGAAAGTCAAGTTTGAGATGCATATTAGAAATGCAAGCGAGCTTGCAGCTGGGTATAGAGTGCAGGGTAGGAGAAATATCTAGGTTGGATAGATCATCTAGACACACGGTCAATAAAGAAACAAGGGCCCTGAATGATACATTGGATCAGATGGACTTGACAGATGTATTTAGAACTCTGCATCCCAAAGCAACAGAATATACTTTCTTCTCGAGTGCACATGGAACATTTTCCAAGATAAATCACATACTGGGTCACAAAACAGCTCTTCATAAGTATACAAGAATTGAAATCATACCATGTACACCTTCAGACCACAATCCTGTGAAGCTTGAAATCAACCATAGGAAAAAGTCTGGAAAATCTCCAAACGCATGGAGGTTAAAGAACACACTACTAAAGAATGAGTGGGTCAACCAGGCAATTAGAGAAGAAATTTAAAAATATATGGAAACAAACAAAAATGAAAATACAACAATCCAAATGTTTTGGGATGCAGCAAAGGCAGTCCTGAGAGGAAAATACCTTGCAATCCAAGCCTATCTCAAGAAACAAGAAAAAT